GACGAGGGGGCGCACGCGCCTTGGCGGGGCGGGGTGAGGGAGGCCGGCTCACGCCCTGACGTGAGGCAAGGAAGGAAGTCCCGCCCCTTCGTGGCTACGTCATGGCTGCCCAGACCCCCCGGTGGAGTGGGAGCTTCACAGGGAAGCGCGGCAGCTGTTGCCCCGCATTAAGTGTGGGGGAGCCGAGCGCTGCGCGCGCCTCGCGGCCCCGGCCCCTTCGGCCCGAGAGCTGAGGAGGGCGGATGCAGGAGCGGGGGGGGCTGGGAGGCTCGTCCCTGGGGAACGGCCCTTCGGCCGGTGTGCGCGCTCCCCGAGCCCGCCTGGAGACAGCTGGCAGCAGTGCTGGGGCAGCCCTGACTGGCTGAGCCAGGGACTCGCCTGGCGTAGCCCGGGGCGGGGGCCAGGTCCGCTCCTGCTCCCTTCCAGGCTGGGGCAGGAGTCCTGTGAGCAGCACACCTTTCCTGAGGGAAGGGGGCAAGAGCAAAGCATCCTGGGGTGCTCTGGGGTATAAAGCCTGAACCTCTGTATGCTCCTGGTTTCCTGTGGGAGAAAGGCAGCTTTCCCCGGGGAAAAAGTGAATGCCTGCTGTGGCCCAGGATACATGCAGTGGCGGGCAGCGAGTGTGTCTGTAGGACCCCAGGACACACTTTTGTGCTGGGAGAAATGTGTCGTCTGGTTTTAGCCAAAGCAGCCCCTGGGTTCAGCTACCACTAATCCTTGCCTGTTTTTTTTGACTGAACCATCTCATCTCTTCTCAGCACAGGCCAGTGGAACTTTTTTTTACCCTGGTGCTCAAGCCCACTTCAAGTATCTGTTGGACTGGCTCAGGGCTCTCTCAGTCTTGCAAACAAAATTAAAATCCCCTTTTATTGGCACCGAAATGGAAAACTCCTATAACAATGAACCATCTTGGGTCAGGAGAACTGGAATCATTTAAAAGTTTACATATATTTCCAGTCAGATTTGGGCTATATCTTCTGATTCAGACTTCAGTTGATCTGGTCCTTGTGCCTAAATCTGGAAGAAGTTAATGTACAGAGAAGAATGCTGCAATCATGGAGAAAACTGCAGAACGTTTTCTGTACTTTGGCTACAGATCACAAAAATCTATCAAAGTGAAACAGCAACAAGCAGCTTGACACGTCTGTAAAGTTTTTTCTTATTAAATTTCAACCTAGAAGTCATTTCATGTTTAACACATACCAGAGTCCAGTCAACACAACCAAGCAATCTGCAAAACTCCTAACATCATTTTGTAATGCCTTATTTTTTTAAACTCATGTGCCCTTAAGCATTCATTTTTCTGTGGCCATTTTACTAAATACACTGACTACAAGACCTATCTAGCAACTAAAGATTATCTTGGCACCACTTACACTGTAAATAAAAGTCTCATTTGATGTGGGCCCCATTAATCTGGGATTTGCCCTGGATCAGAAGGGAGCAGCACAGTCATTTATACAAACAGGCCTTCCAAGCTGCAGGGCTGCTGCTCTACGAGTAGATGGCTAGTGAGAGCACACAGCTTGGGCAGTTTGTCTCAGGAATGACTCATGGTAGCTTTACAGCGGTACACAGCCATGTCCTAGCAAAGTGCAAGTACATTTTATCCCACATACTTCGCAGTGACTTGCAGCAGGACAGTGAACTTGCTTGTCTCTAGGATCTGAGGACATATACAACATATATTCATAGCCTTAGTGAAATATCTATTGCTTCTGTTACTGGGTTAACCTTGCATTTGTCTTTTCTTGGTCTCTTTGAATACCTTCCCTATGTTTTGAACCATGGCCTTTCTTGAGCTGGACTCCTGAGATTAACTGCAACCTTAGTAAGTCTGGCCTGCAGCTTCCTTGTTTTGGGGAGCTCTGACCAGCAATAAGGTTTCTTAAATCAATGTTTATTCAGAACCTAAGCATTTCAGAGGAAAAAGATCTTTAAACAGATCTTTAGACAGCCTGCAGGTATGTCTAGCTTCAGGTGCCTGTGATCCAAGCATGCTGTTAAAAATTAAGCTTCCAGACACGCTAAGACATATGTAGTGTAGGAGGTGTAATCAACTTGATTAACTCTCTAGCCAGTTCAATCCAGTTCATGGAGAGAATCTTCAAAGCCTGAGTAGTCTTTTGATGCTCCTTTTATATGGCTCAGTCATCTTTTGGTTATAGCCCTCTGATCGGATAAGCTTCCTGCCCCAATGAAACAAGCTGGGCATAAGATGTTGACTCTTTGAAGCTAATGTCTTCCCCCACAGTCTTTCCTTTCATGGGGGTGTTCACGAGGCCATTTTTATCAGGAAATGATTATTTTCTTGTTGGCAACAGCCTTCATTAATTTAAAGTAGTATAGGCATATAACAAACATTTCACTCGTTTGCTATACCTATAAAATCTCCAAGCTTTGGCCACATTCAACACTGAACATACAAATTTTCTATAGCAGCTCCCTATTTTCACATAATTCTGGAGATATTAACATAGGTTAGATTTGCACCTTATAAACTAAATGAGAGACAGATAAGCTTTCATGAGCAGTGGCTTACTTCGTCAGATACTATACAGTGACTTCATACTAACACAGCTAACTACTTCTCTCTGAAGTCAAGTCATCTATAGGAAAGCTAAGAGACTGAAGGACTATCAAACAAAAGATGTAAATGTACCACACTATGAATAGACTGAGTGATAGGGAGAATAACAATATGGTCATGAAGCTGCTCTTTAGATTTTTGGAGAAATACAGCTTTTAACTTAAACCTGTAATTTCCAACTTTCACATCTGTCAACATCACCCCCCCCCCCCCCCCCCCCCCCCCCCCCATCATTCTCCAGTGCTCAAAGTTCCAACTGTGTATTGATAAGCACATTCTTGTTGGAGTCCTATTTCCATTAATGTTGTACTTGTATGGATGATGGGAAGAAAGTCAGGGAAAAACCCTCAAATGTGGGGACTGAGGTACATGCTTCATGAATATTGGAGTACAGAACGTTTGATATGAAACTATATTATCTCTTGTATGATTCAAGTAACTGCTTGTTTTGAAGCTATGAATCAATCACACTGAAAAATGTAGTATTGCAGAGAGCAACTACAGCACTGGTTAAATGCCACTTCTTTTTTAAAATAGATTAAAAGTTGCAGCATCCACTACTTTCTATGCTGCGTTCTGTGTGCATTTGACCTGCACTTTCGAATGTGATTACTTCAGTTTTAACAACTGCTTTAGTCTCATGCTCACTTAAAAACCCCTTTCAAACTGCTGTTATATGTGAAAGGCCAATCTTTTGTGCCATTTTGAATAAACAATAATTTATTACCTCATGTACATCCCTCAGTAATGCTAACTCTTGCAAAAAAATTGTGAGACTCGTGATTTCCAAGTCAAATTAACTCTGACTCATGATCTTGGGATAGAACCCTCAAATCTCTGGACTTTTTCTTCTAGTGAATGTAGAGACTGCCCAGCAGGTAAGTCTGTGGAAGGGAAGGGGTGGGGCAGTGGGGGCAGATGGATGAGGGAGGGAGTGGGGCAGGGGGTGGGGGTGAATGGGGGCCCAGGGCCAGGGCATACAACAGAGCTGCAGGCAGCTCATCCAGAGGTGTGGGGGGTAGCGTAGCTCCTTGCTACTGAGTGCACCCCTGAGGGAAGCATGGGGAGGCATGTACCCCCCCAGATTTGTGTGTGGGGCAGAGACAGTAGGAGGCACACATCGCATTGCGCAGCTCCCAGGGGCAAAGGCAGCTGGGCACAGTGAGCCCCAGTCCACAGCAGGCGGCCCGTTTCTGCCCCATGCACAAATCCGGGAGGTGTGCACCGCATGCTTCCCCCCCAGGGGTGTGCACATTGGCAGAGAGCTGCACCCTCCGTTCCTCTCCTGCACTTCTGGACAAGCTGCCTGTGGCTGTCATATGACCCAGACCCCAACCCATGTGTGTGTGTGTGGGTGTCTGCCCTTCAGTCCCAAACCACAGCCCTCCCCCTCCAGCCCTGCTGCTGCCCCTCACTCCTGACCCACAGTATCCTGCATCCTTTGTCTCATGATTTTTGACACGGTGGGGTTGGTTGCACAGGGGCAGAAAAGTATCTTGGAGTCATTATTGATTCCAAAATGAACATGGGCCGCCCATGTGGGGATGCAGTCAGGAAGGCTAACCGCACCTTGTCATGCATCCACAGATGCATCACGAGCAGGGCCAAGGAGGTGATCCTCCCCCTCTATGCAACACTGGTCAGGCCGCAGTTGGAGTACTGTGTCCAGTTTTGGGCGCTGCACTTTAGGAGGGATGTGGCCAGCATAGAGAGGGTCCAGAGGAGGGCCACTCGCATGATCAGGGGGCAGCAGGGCAGGCCCTATGAGCGGAGGCTACGGGACCTGAACCTGTTCAGCCTCCACAAGAGAAGGCTGAGAGCGGATCTTGTGGCCACCTATAAACTTACCAAGAGGGACCAGCGGGGAACAGGAGAGACCTGTTCCCCCGAGCACTACCAGGAGTAACTAGGAATAACGGCTATAGGTTGACTAAGAGTAGGTTCAGGCTGGACATCAGGAGGCACTACTTCACAGTCAGGGTGGCTAGGAGCTGGAACCAACTTCCAAGGGAAGCAGTGCTCACTCCTACCCTGGGGGTGTTCAAAAGGAGGCTGGATAATCACCTAGCCAGGGTCGTTTGACCCCAGCATTCTTTCCTGCCCATGGCAGGGGGTCAGACTTGATGGTCTACTTAGGTCCCTTCCGACCCTACCAACTATGAAACTATGAATACTGGTCTCTGGAAATGTTGGATGGCAGATTGGGGTAACCCAGAAAATGTGTTTTTTGCTGCAAAATTTGTAAATTCAACCAAAAGCATGCAAAGAACTTTTTTCCAAGTATTTAGTTGGTCTAATAAAAGCTATCACATCTACCCAAAGAACCTTGCCTGCCTAAATCCAACCTACATTCTCACATTGATATCAGGAATTCATGTTATATGCTTCTATTTCTAAAGTTAAGGTTTATTTTAATGCCCTCCCCACTCCCGCTGTTTTGCAATCATTTTGGATCAAGACGGACTTCTTTTGGGATATGGAAGGTCGGAGGTGGCCAGAACTCAGCTTCAAGAAATGTATGATCCAATACACAGAGTCAATGTGAACAGATCTGCAACATCCTGCTTAGCAATGCAACTTAGAGAAGCTGAATATTTTTAAGTCTCCATGACCAGACAGATTCATCCCAGAGTACTTGAGGAACTGGCTGAAGTAACTGCAGAGCCACTGGCTATTACATTTACTTACATACAACGTAACTTTCTAGAAATTAGCTACTAGAAACTGGGGTGCAAGTCTTAAATGAGGAAATGCAGGAGTTAAACTGCCCGGCTCTTCTTCTTGAGTTGGGTGGGCAGCCAGCACTGTCTGCTGCATCATCCTAGTAGGGGGTTGACAAAAGCAGCCACAGGTTTTTGCTACATGCATTTTCCCCATGAAAATACTTACAGGTATTTTCAAAGTACATATCCAACACAGGATCCTGCATTCAGTGGTCTGAGAATGGCCTATGGAGTCTTTAAAATACCTGTCTCTCACAACAGCTGCATTCCTCTGATCAAACAATGTTCTCCTCAGACCTGCTTAGTGCTTGTCTAGAAGAGTTTAAGGAAGGTGTGGATCTGCTTGTTTACTAGTTCAAGAGCAGGGAGTGGTAGAGGAGTTGTATATGGAAGGGTCCCTTCCTGGAAATCTGTATTCTTCCTCCTACAGCAGTAAAGTAGACCATGAGAGCTGCTCCAACAGCTGTTGCCCATTACAAGGATTGGGCCTTGAATATGGAGGGTGAACTTCCAAAAGTTCAGCTATAAATAGTTTTAAATAAATTAATAAAAATATCCTACAAGCCATGCTCCTGAGAGGGAAGTGTTTAGCAATTCCCAAAGTAGTGGGATACAGCTGCTATGCAGTGATTTTCTATGTAGGAAATAGTTCATTTTTTATGTGGATGTTCTGATAAAGTCTTACATTGAGCAAATCACATTCCAGGAGTCATTTTAAAATGTTTAATGTGCTTTTTTTAAATCTTACTTTACAAGGCAACTTGTCTCACTGTCACCAATATCTCAATACAAAAATCTTACAATGCTTTATTTGCTAAAAAACTACAACATTAAAATTGGGGTTAGGTAGTTCTTTCCTTTTACCAGCTGTTCTACTACAAGGAATATCCATTAGTCCATTGCTAATGTTGTGGTACTTAATTCAAACAATAAGTTACACAAATTCTGTACATAATTACAGTCATATTAGAGTTTTTAGGGTATGTATCTGTATAGTACATTGCAGTTAAACACCATGAGGGCACAAAGAACTAACTGTTTATGAAAACCTTTTGTTGAAGACTTTATAGTTTAATTAACCAAGAAGAGTCAGCATTTAGCATTCTTATGTCAGGGGACTGTCAATCCAGCTTTCTTAGGCACTGAACCAGGCAAATTTGCCTTGAAGAAAAGCCTGGCTGTTTTGCCAAACTCATGCATTATTAAAAAACAAAACAAAACAAAAAAAACCCCAACACATAGCCACAAACTCCTTATTAGCTCTATAAAAATAATTATTTTCTAGACTCGTGCTTGTCTTCAAATACATGGAAGTATTTGAATAATTTCACATTCTCTTTCTGAATTAGGTTCACTGAAATATTAGATCAGGCAGAAACTTCAACAGCTTAATTAGTCAAATGTGACTCAACCAACTGGATATTTTAGTTTGAATAAAGGAAGTGTGACTACATACGACTAAAACATGAAGGCTTATGCCATGGCAGATCCAGCTAGCTTTGATGTTGGATATATTTTTCATGGTGGAAAAATCATTATTCCATAACTTCTGGTGCAGGATACTTTGGGAATAACGTATTGGATGATCGTGCTTTTCAGACATTTCCACTAATGATTTAGATTCTATTGGCTTTGGAATGAATAGCTCAAAAACTTGGCATTATGCAGGGCAATAATTAACAGCTTTATACTAGGAAAACAAGCAATTTTACTATTTAACTAATATGAAATTATGAAAACAAGAAAGCAATTAAGCCTCTTGTAGTAAGTAGTTAAAACTGGATACTAATTTATCTTTCTACAATAAAGTTCACAATATTACAGAATCCATTATGGCACATTAAGTAAACCTTGTTAAAGATGCAGTATTTGTTTTTGCTTGGTACCAAAAGGCTGAATGATAGCATATTTCTGAATTGAGGATTGGAGTGAGTTGTTTGATCTGAATGGGGATGAGTCAATGACTAAAATAATAAAAAAGGCTGCATTTTAACATCAAACATGTGCAAAATTCCTTGCAATACAGTAGAGGACAAAGTGGAGATATACAAAATCTTGAAAGTTATGTGCCAACAGAGTTATCATATACATATCAAACCAGCACACTGAAGGAAAACTCCAGGATGGTTAACCACAACTTTCATCAGTGTTTCCAGAGTCCTCTTCAGCTGGTGTTTTCTCCAAACCCCAGTCTATGTCTCATTATGCAGTGCATTAAGATACTGACATTCATAATTATTGTAAAAAAAATTGGTCCTTGACAGTTTCTAATACAATTCCTTCAAGAATTCCAGTAATTTCTCAATCCTAATATGGATGTTGTAAATGCTATATTGGGTTTACAAAAGCAAATGCAGTTTGAGAGATGAAGGTCCATGAAGACTGGCATCTGTTTTTCTTGGGTCTTCAGAAGTTAAAGAGCACAACAAACTGATAAAGATCTTATTCAGAAAGTCTCTATAATTTTGGTGCTTCAGCCTCTGTGTGGTATTAGGTTTTCACATGTTGTAGGCAACATAAATAGGATCCAATTGGTCAGCTAAAAATCCGTCTCTCAAGTGCATTCGTTGCTTTTCACCACGAGAATTGATAGGAATAACTCCTGGGTCGACAATTACTACAACACCCACTATCAGATAATGTTCTTCCAGAACTACATTTGTTACTAATGCAACTAAGTCCAGTGCTTCCTGCTCCGAGCCTTCTAATTCCACAACCACCACCAGCAAGTTGGTCCATGTAAACACAGCACTGTTGGTATGAAACAAGCATTAATTGTTAAAAGAAAAACTTATATGAATATAATCACTAGAGAAAAAAAAATGATATACAGAAAGAGAAAAAGTCTTAGGAAAATGCTCAAAATAACCAATATTGTAAATCTATACAAATGCTAGTGATAGAAGTATTCAAAAGTCAAATGTTAGAGCTGAAGAAATCATAATTCACTATACTTCATGTACACTTTATTACACAGTAATCACAGAGCTTCTTTAAATTTACCTTTTCTGCTATACAACCAAATGTGTATATAACATGATCATGAATTTAAAGACTATAACGTGAAACTATAAGGGGGAAGAGTTAAGGACAGAGTTCCTTCCTTAGGTTTCTCTTCACATACCAATCCAAGCCTCTCATGTCTTCATTTAGTTTTTCAATTTAGGTGTTGGGTGAAAACTAGAAAAGGACTTGAAGGTGGCGGTGGGGGGAGGAGGGAGTGAAGGATGTGCAAGGGGCTCAGCATCTGGAATACAGATTGGTTGAAATGGAAGGAGTTAAGCTCTGTTTCATGAGACAGACAAATGAAGCTGCTGATCTAGGTACACTGCTTCTCTGAGCAGGTAACTTCTGATCTGATGTGGGATGTCCACTGCACAACTTCACATGAATGCCTACATGCGCCCAAGTTTGCTCACTCTTCAAATCAGGAAGACAACTATGTCAATAACTGTTTTGGTTCTTTATGTTTCAGCTTGTTTTACTACAGTCATGCATGTTCAAGAAAGCAGCTAGAATATTTTAAGTGGCAATGATACAGCTTCCTGCAGCCCCTTTCATTCTCCCACAAGTCAAATAGCTGAAGACATTTTGCTCAAACTTTCAATCACAAATAACACTCAGGTAAAGATCAGAACGTGGAAAATTTCAGTTCTCAAAGATGGTGAATTAAAAGGAAGGTATAAAATCAGAACATTGGCGTGCTCATGAAACTTGGTAGAACTGCAGAGTTGTCAAAAAGCTCAAAAAGAATATGCCAAGAAAAAGAAATCTGCACAGGTTGACCATTAATTTCAAACTCAATTTGTAATGTAAATTATTCTTAAAGAGTCTTCTTCAAAGTGACCTAAAACTGTCCTTTTCTTAATTGAGCATTAAATCAAATCACCTGAAATTTATGGTAGAAGATGCAACAAATAAGGTATAAGCCAAGGACAAGTGTAGCAGTTTTCCACAAGCTACAATGTGTATTCATTATGGAGATGCAACCTGTTGATAAGATTATGGAAGGCCAGACCTGAAGCTTGCTAATACGCTATCTCCTTTGTGGATGCAAAAAAAAATTCCTTTCACCACTAGTTAATGTAATTTGCAAACAATTTATTTTCTAGTGGCAAAAGTACAAACACATTAGATGTTAAAAAAACCTGGGAAGCTGCCAATGTGTGTGGTAGTATGTGTTGCAAAATGTGTGCTCTGCTGCTTAAAAAAAAATAGGAGGCAGCAAACAAAACTTGTTTTGAATTCTTACCATTCAGCAATGCTCTTATGTGCTCTAATCACTGAAGTCTCAATATCAATGGGATGATATCTCATTCCTCTCAGCTCCAGCGTTTCATCCAAAGAGCCTACCACATACAACGCATCATGCCTCTCTGCAAAACAGGGAAGATATTCAGGGTATCAACAGAACATGACAAACAGAAGTTCTCAATTCATATGCATTTACATTCATTAACTGCCCTCAGTCTCATGACTTCCTAGGAGAAGTGGCATTCATTGCCACTTCATTGGTCAAATTTTTTTTGGAGCCAGTCTAGTAACCCTTTTAATGACTTGTGGCGAGACAGGAGTTAGATGACTGAAAATAAAGAGGTGGGTCATCAAATCCAATACCCTGCTATAACAGGCACATATCATAAAATCCTTTTCACAAATTGGTCAAGCTCCTCTACAAAACCTGCTAGGAATAAAGGAAGATAAAAATCTACCCACAACCTCAGTGCTGGGATAGATAGGAATCCAAAGTATCAAGCCAGACTGTACACATTTACTTTTTGCCAGCACATCTTTTAGTTTAAAACAGCTCATCTACCTCCATGGTATTTATTCCCCTGAGAGCAAGCAGAGCCCCTCCTAGCTTTTGTTTTGCCAGGCTAAGCAAGCCAAGGTCTCTTAGTCCCTTTTCAAATGATCAGCTCTCTGATCATCTTAGCAGCTCTGCTCCACCCGTTCCAATCTGAATTCATTTTTCTTCTCAGGACCTGTTTCAGCAATCTCCCAAATTGTACAATCATGTAGTTACTCATTATATAGGTATTAACCAAAACAATAATTCTGTAATTTAAATTAACAATGATGATATTTGAACTCTCTTACAAAAGCAGCATTTTAAATGAGTTTAAGAGTTAGGTTGATGACTACTGACTGTACTGTAGCATTTCTGTTGTAAAAAAACCCACCCACTTCTCCATAGGAACTATAGTTCTTTGGGACATGTTATATTCTGATCTGATTTGGGGTGCAAGTATGCTTCATGTGCATGACACTGGTCTCTTCTTTTTTCCATTCATTTGTTTGCTTATGTACTATGTATGAATTTGTGCTGCTGAGCCTGCACCACTCTCTCTCTCCAGGCTACAGCAGCCATGGAGATCAGAGGGAGGAGACTCTTCCACTGCCCCTCAGTTCTTTTGCCAAAACAGATTCCTAGAAATAGGGATTTTGGTTATTAGATACAAAGGACGGGCTCCAAAATCAGCAGGGACCAGCACACCTCAAAGAACAGCAATTACTAGAGATGAACAGTCATGCTTTGAATTCCTGTCAAAGGATTCCACTTCCTGTTTTCTCAACAGGATGGGCTTGCTTGACCAGGTTTCAGTTGTTGGAAGCTTGCAATGAAGAGCAGTGTGCTAGGAATGGTCAGACAGATCTCCAGATCTCTCCCCTTACACATCTTCAGCATCTTACAAATGAATCTAGAGGTTGTGGAAGGCCTTCTTGAATGTGTCCTGGCATGACTTAGATTCCTAGAGGGTCCTCAAGAGAAGGAACAGACTTCTTTTATCAGAGGTGCAGATCGTTTTGGGAGACTGGATCTTTGTTATGGTGCTCCAATGGAATTAGGACCAATGGATATCTGAAGATATCCCTTCGTTACTCCAGGAGTGAAAACTTGTATGAGGCCAATGGAAAAGTTGGTCAGAATCATAAATGGCTTTAGTGCCAAGGATGAAGTACTCAAGCACAGAGGTGTGCTGAACATTGAAGGTCTTTGTGTCAGAGTGCACAGCACTGCAAGCAGTATGACGCTTCCAAGATAAAGAAACCGTAGGCATTGACTGGTTGGCGCTTCAATGCTGAAGCATCAGAAAGCATCCTGGAACCATGGATCTTAAATGAATGGTTGCATATATAAACCTTTAGTTTCTTGCTTGATCCTTGCATTTAATCCTCAGGAAGTGCATACGTAACCTTCTTCCTCATATCTGATAGCATCATAGCCATGAAAAGTCTATGGGAAGTCAGTCTGAAGGAGAGAGAATGCCAAATGGCTGGTACTGAGATGGGCAGAAGCTGTCAACTGCTTCAGCAAGAATAAATTTCAGGTATACTCTCTGGACTTGAGGGTTGTCTTGAAGGACAAATAGAACATCAAACAGTGGTCTGAAACATGTCCTTCTCTCAAGCAACTGACCACTTAGACTAGCTGCAACAGACTGGCAAGGCAGAGTAAAACAATGGACAGAACTTAAATTTGGAAAACTACCAGAAAGGGCAGGGTACCCTCAATTTAAGGAATGCAAAATGATGTGGAACTGTGTCTTGTGCAAATACTACCTTCCCTTTATTTAGCTTTAAGTAGTAAGGGATAACCAAAAAATATAACTATAAAGCAGCAGAAATTCCCCAGGTAGGAAAGATATGCTGCAGAAAGATGGATACTGGAGATGCTCAATCATGAAGCACAGATGGTGTGAAGCAACTTGGTGGAGGTTACAGACATGCAGCCTCTTACATACTTGGCTATAGCACGAGAGGTGGAGGTACAGCCAAAACACATACAATTTGAGCTCATACATGTTGCGTGCATGGATACCACTGTATTCAAGCTCTTGAAGGAGGATTCCTTTTACAACAAAGTTTATAACAACTGATGTATTAAGATTCCTTTTGTTAAAGAAAGCAAAGTACTAAAGACAGGCCTGGGGTTTTTGTATTCTACTTGAATAGGAAAATACTCATTTTTTCTGCTGCCTTTTTATGTTCACTTAAATATTTTTATTTTAAAAATGAAACTTATAGAGATTCACATTTGATTTTCTAATCTGGAAAAACTATGATAGGGTCACCATTTTTAGTCTTCACCTCTGAAGAGCAGAATTAGCAATCTCACAATCAGGATAGGAATATTAGGCATCACTGATAGCTGGGAAAGGAGCAGAACTAAGTGCAAAGGGAAAAATATGCATCTGATATGCCTATATCATTAGGTCCACGCTGTTAATTCAAAATGTAAAAAAGCAAGATGATCACACTGTAAAAGTCATCCCATGGACATATACATTACCTATTTTGCTTGATCATTCAGAATCAGTACAGTCAACAAATGCATGCACATCAAGGCCCAGAATTCCTGTGGGACTGAGCCAATTGGAATCATGCAAGAGGACCTTCATTCTCTACAAGCTTACTCTTTAGTAAAGGGTTACACACCTGTGCATATTAGAAACAATACCAAGATCTTTTTTCCCCCCCTCACCTCCACTGGCATCAGTCAGTTCAGTTCTGCGCAGAAAGCCCAGGTACCCAGTCCGTGCCCATATTGTCTGAGTGTCTCCAAAACTCAGCCGAGCACTGAAATGGTCAGCGTGTAGTGCCTCTTCTCCATAGACTGTGTAGTAACCTGTAGCATTGTGGGGACTACTCACCCAGATCTAAACCAAAAAAAGTAACCTCAGTGTAACAGACAGTGGTATGTTGTTACAAACAGACAGCAGAATTTCTTGGTAGAACAGACATCTGTCACACTGGCAGTCTTGTTGCCTAAAAATGCCAGGTATTACTTCCTTAAAATAATTAGTTTTTGCTACATGGAAAACTGAACAAATAAGAATGGACTGGAGATTCTGTGCATGTAGCAAAAGTACATTTTACAGGACAGCAGAGTTCAATTAAATGGATTTATTTCAGCTTGATGCAGGGACAGAAATTTCTTTTAAAAGGCGCCTTCCATCAACAGAGCTTCTTGTTTCAAATAAGACCCCTTCCCCCCACTCAGTATGTAATACCAGTGTAGGCAATTTGCTATCTTTGTAAAAATTGATCTGTAAAAAATCAGGAAGTACATCTACTTAGCCATTACTTTGCATTGATAAAGACACACCACAATGAAAAAAAACCTGGGACATTCTTTGCCAACTGACTGCTAAAGAGGTTCAGATCAGCAAAAAAACAATGCCTCAAGGTGCAGAATGGAGAAAGTTTGGAAGTCTACTTCAGCACATGATGTCTTGCACTCATTTGTTAGAGTTCCAGCTAACATGGATATGGATAACTCTCTCTGCTAAACCAAGAAGGCTATTTTTCCATCTTGCCATCAGGCATGCAGAAATTTACTTTTTTAAATCTATAAAAATCACTGCAGACGTTAGTGGCTACACAGGCATTAAATATTTACCTCTCCTAAATGTGAATCTCCTAGAGGTCCTTTTGTTTCAGTATGTGCTATAATAACCTTTACCCCAGGCAGAATCTGCAATAGGAAACAAATATTTTTAAAATTACCTAATATCACCTCTATCTTAATCAATTTAGTGCTACAATATTTGGACTACCATAATTCTAACCTCTCTCCCCCCTCACCTCTTGTTCTGTATAAAGGGTGAAGTATGAGGTCTTTTACTCTAGAGCAGAGGCGGACAAAATATGGCCCATGGGCCGAATCCAGCCTGCCATCCGGCCCATGAGTGGGCGCCTGCTGAGCCCTGCCCATGTCTGCTGGGCCAGTGCACTACGCTCCCACCCTTGTGTGTGCGAGGGCCCCTGCCTTGGCCAGTATGCACGGCGTCCAGGTGGGGTTATTGCTGCTTTTGCTGCAGCCACCCAGGGAACTGCTCAGCTCCCTGAGCCTCCAGTGGCTTCTTCTCCTGTCACTGCTGCAGTGCTCTGGGTAGCAGGTAGGGAAGTGGGGGAAGGCGAGGGGAAGCTGCAGCTTGGTGGGAGTACGGGGCTAGGGCCAGCTGAAGCACGGAACCCAAAGCGTGGGACCCACACCTAGTGAGGCGGTGGGAGTGCAGAGCCTGGGTTGGCCTAGTTCCATTGCACGGGGCTCCCCATGGCTCATGTGCAGCTCCTGGGACTTGTGTACCACTGGGGGAACCCCTGCACGATGGAGCCAGCAGCCTTCCCCACTCTCTGCTGCCACTTGCAGCTCCCAGGACGCTGATAAAAGTGGCAGGGAGTCCCATGTCATGGAGCCAGGCCTGCTTGGCTCCACTCCCTGCTTCCTGGTGGAGTCCTGGGAGCTGCATGTGGCAGCAGGGAGTGGGACCAGGTTGCCAGCTCCATCACACAGGGCTCTGACCTGTGGTGAGTGGCTCTGGCTAGGTCCTGGGAGCTGCATGAGCTGCTGGGAGCCCTGCATGATGGAATTGGGCCAGCCTGGCCCTGCTCCCTGCTGCCACACGCAGCTCCTGGAACTGGCCAGAGCTACGTGCCACTGGGGGCTCTACCTGTATGGGCCATGAGCGACCCGAGGGCCCGCCACCTGCTGCTGCCAGGGGCGGGGGCTGTGTGCCATGGGGAGGGCCCCACATGCACACCCCACCAGACCCAATACCCACATACACACACCTACACATGCCCTGAGACACAACCACACCCTCCCTCACACCCCACCCCACCCCACCCACAATATGCAAGAGTAAGATTTGATTTTGAGCTATTATGAAATCATCTCTATATACACTATGCAAACACATGTAAATCAGGACAAAAATATTTTTTGAAATATAAATTTAAAATGTTATAGTAGGTGTTTGATTTTTAGTATATGATTTGATTATTATTTTTCTGGTTCCAAGATGCCCGCCCCCCCCAGTACTTCTGGGGCAAGGGGAGGGATATCCAGTGGCAAAGGTCAAGGGGTGGGACTCCTGGTGCCAAGATAGCAACAAAGGGGCAAGGCACCTGTCAAGGAGCAGGGCTTGCAGCCCTCGACAGCTCACCAAAACTCATTAAATGGCCTTCCACCTGAAATAATTGCCCACCCCTGCCCTAGAGTGAGGATCTGGGCTGTGCCAGTAAAGGAGGAAGAGAGAACTTGCTTCCCACTGTTGGGTGGGGCTGAAACGGTCCTTTGATACAGGGCTGCTTTAAGTGGTAAAACAGGCTCTGGAGGGTCCTCTGAGCAATGGCAGGATCTCCAGAACATTACAGGCTGCCACTCTGCTGCATCTCTCTCTTGCTTTTACCAACAGTCTCCAAAACCATCCTCTGGCTGTTCTCTGTAACACCTGTACTGGGGGAATTTTCTTCCCAGTGGATTTAGGATTTTATAGCCCTTGTATGCTTCTCCAACATTTTTACCCAGTGGAAAGGGGCTGGAGTGGGGTGCAAGTCTCAGAGTGCTGGCCTCACTAGAAAAATCTGTTCATTGTCCAATTCATTTCCTACTTTATGATTTTACCTCAAACTCCTAAACAGATTGATTTAGGGCTTGGCTTATTCCTTAGGTTGCATGAGATGGACAAAAGATGTTTGAACAAAAGGAGTTCAGTAATTCGAGTTCTGTGTGCATATATTAATGATGAAAACAGATGAGAACAGTTTTTATCACATAAAGCTAATCTATTCAACTGAATATGGGTTTGCTCTCATACATATCTATGGTCAATCAATCCTTTCCAGACCAGTGGACCTCCTACCATAGCAGTATCAATTATTTTGCCACTTTCAGAAAATAAAGGATGACCCAGTTATACTCCAACTTTTCAGAAAAACAAACAACCCTCCCGCCCCCAGGGATTGAGATCAAGCATTGAATCTGTTAGCCAAAAAGGAGCTAAGGCATTTAAATTGGAAAAGAAGAGAGGGGAGGGCAGTAGGGTTTATGCCAGAATTTGGTATGCAAGCTTAGCTATACTGTGCACCAGATAAAGTACTAAATCTTGCCATTTACTTAGGATAAAACATGAATTTATTTTGAATCTTGGGGGCTCTATTTCTGTGACATAATATTTACCTCTCAGCTTAGAAAAATATACTTTATATCACAAGAGAGACACATCCAAACAAAAGTGGAAGACTCAAAAAGAAATGAGGTGTGATATAGCTTTATAGTTAGGCTGCACCATCCAGCTATACCATTTGCTTACCTTTCCAGACTCCATCAATGGCAAACTGTGTGGAGACCCCCTCTCTACCAAACGTACCCTGAAAAAGCAAATAGATGATGTATTTACTTAACTTGATATATTCAATCTTACAGTAATGTTTAAAAAAAGTTAAAAATTGTAGTTGGCCAGTGTTGACCAAGGTGCTATTTCTGTGGCAACACCTATGCCCAACTGTCTCAACAGTGCAAGATGATAATTAAGTGAAAGCCTTAGAGAGCTTAAGTGGTGCTCACAGTGCTTCTGTGGCCTTTTAGGAATGCTACAAGAACATCAAAAGCTCATTTAAAGAGCAAAGCTAGGAACTGCAGCAACTACATTCACAGCTGCTTCAACTGGAGGCAAACACGACAAGGACAACACCAATGCATGTTATATTAGACCTTGCTAATGCCTGCACAATGTGGGAATTTCAATCAGATTTGTTTCAAACTAATGCAAATGAACTTATTCTGCTATTGTGTCACAACAAGGAGGCTGGCACCTACATCTCAGAAGGAACACAGCCTTCTACCATGATAACAACATCACCTAACTAAACAAAGAAGGAACTGTAAGCTTCCTGCAGAGATGAAAGACAGGTGAATGACCTGCTCTCTTACAGCTCCAGCCAGCTGGCAGCTTCTTCTGCATCTGAAGTATCACTTTTGTTGGAATTCTTATGGAAGACTCTTGGCCAGCCTCAATGGGGATATAAATGGCAACTAAGTTAAATGTCAAAAAGAACCTTGTGAATGAGCTAGCATACACAGAATGAACTGAGTTACCATGGTAGCATTACTTGCACTGTCTAAGCATTTAGTAAAACGAGCAAAATGAAGGTCACCACCAAACTAGAAGATGTACATAGCAGGAAAAGCAACTCTCAATGGTGTGAAGGAAAGCAAACAATTCCACTGCCTCAACATGCACTATTTTATATTGCACCCCACCCCCCCACAATCTAAGGACCACATCTGACCCTGATGTAAACTGGAGTGAGGTTCACCTTCCTCCCCATTGGCTGAAATAAAGCACTCTTTTAGGCCAGGGGTTAATCTGTTCTTAACAGACTCACACTTCTATGCAAGTCTTAAATTACTATTTTGGGTTCCAACTAGTATGGGATAAGGAGAGAGAAAGTTATTGCATCTTGTGCTGATTTGGTCAAATGCCACAGTGAATGATACTTCTTACAGTCATACTCTGATTGTGATTCAAATCTCAAGGTTTAAATGCATTGAAGGTTAGAGGTGATTAGCACTGATTAAGGCAAGTTACAGCTCTGGAGTTACCACTATTTATACATTATCAGCTTTAATGTATGAATGTACATTAACATATGAATGTAAAGAACACGAAACACAGATGTTCTTTTTTTTCTGAAGTAGGTACAGAAATTGATATGAATATGAAAACCAGTAACATTACGACAGTATTTTAAGACGAGGATGAGTAAATGTGCCAAAGTGTTTTTACAGCCAGGCAGCATAGTTATTCTAAAACGAGTTAAAGGGAAAACTACATCTAAAAAATCAGGGATTGGTGGGAGGGAGTAGATGCTGAGAAATGTGAATAAAACTGGAAAGCAGGTGGGGAAAACAAATAAGTGAAAGGAAAAGCTGGCTCAGGTTAGTGTCGGTGGGTCATGGAAGGATCTGGCAGGATGGTATTGTTTGTCAGGTAATGGCAGTGATCAGGGGTTAACAAGTATACTGTGCTATGTCAGGGCAATAATGAGAACAAATATATTTTTCTGTAGTGTTCTGGAAGCTAATCTTATCCTCTGTACCTGTCATGTCGAAGTGCTCTCATGTCTACGTAGACTGTCGTTGGATCTGGCCCGGCAGTTCCCTGAGAACAAAGAGGAGGAAACAATTTTAACATGAACCAAAACATTTCACTTTTTTTTTTTTTTTTAAAGAAATCAATTAATACATATTCCTCTTTGTCCCTAACAGTCACACAGTATTGTCCACTAAAAGAACAGAAAAATGTTCTTCCTACACTGGCCATCATGCAACTTTGGTTTTCATATATTTTCTAAACAGATACAGAACTGAAGTGCACATTTACACATGGAAGTGCCAAAAGGTATCAACTCTTATTTTGGTTCTTATACATTCAACTGAAAAAAAAGGGTGGAGGGTGAACAACACAGGACATTTAAAGCATTTAAGAAAACTCTGTGCAGGTGTAGCCCCTTTTCTCAGTATTTTTTTTTTATCCATAGATTTGTCAAATTGTTACATGATCCACAGTTATAAAAATCTTAGTCAACTAAGTACTGCAGCTAGTTGGGCTACAGTATTTTCATGGCTATTATAAATTATGGAAGACGGAAACACAAGTTACTCTCTGCTGGAGTTAGTGTGCTGGCTTGTGAGGAATTTTGTTGAGTGGTTCCTAAACTTAAAAGGCAATCTAAGCCAATGAACAAATTGTGCACAACGCACCTTTAATTCCAATACTGCTTAATCTTGGAGCAGTTAAAATGTATTAAGAAATGCTCCTTTGACCAAAAATTAGGTAAAAATCCATCTGTTTTTTATCTCTTGCCCCCCCCTCCCCTCCCCACCAAACAGTGCAGTTTCTCATTATGGACAGAGAAAAGACCAGATTCTAATCTTCTCAAGGTTATAGGTCTGGAATTGAAATCAGCATTTTCAATATGCCAACAGTCCCACATGCTCAGTAATACCACTGATAGGCAGTCTTGTAGGCTGTGCTCTGTACATGACAATACCTCTCTCTTTAGCCAGGTTAAGAATGTGCACTCCATCTCTGGGAATGAACCACTAAACTCATACAGTCTCTGATTTACCCACATTCCTATCTGTTGAACAAACTGGATTTATTGTCAAGTGATCTCTGTGAGCAAAATAAAACTATGTTAAATTGAAAAACAACCCCCAAAACCCTCACTGATTCAAGTAAAAGCTCCTTCAAATGGTTGCATTTATTTACAGTGTATGCACTGAAAATGACTGATTTCAGGACATTACAAGCACACACATGCATCACTATACCTGTTCAGCCAGCTTGCCCAGCCTGTTTGGCTGACAGAGGGACCACAAACAGAAGTAACAGAGGCCAGCAAAGTGTGTGAAACAGAGAAGAGAGCAAAGAAAAAATACAAACAAAGAGGCACAGGAGACATGAGATACACACAGTAAGATAGAAACAAAAAAGTCATACTATCTTTGAACAAAAAATAATGAATTCCCTTTTAAGATTTCTGAAAGGACTGACTTGTTGAGTTTTTTAAATGACTAATCTGGAAACATGTCTAAACCCCATATATTAACCAGGTACCGGTTTAAAGCACAGAACCTGTCATGCTTACTGATGCATCATACCTCCTTTCCCTATCTGTGAGTACTTTAGGTTATTTATTACTTTAAAGGGACTTTTGCAGTAAGTCGACCTATTAGCACAAGAATAGGTTATGTCCTTATTTCCACAGTAACTTGTAATTAATAGATTCATTTTGGACACCATATCTATACCCTTATAAAGAATAGTGTAGAATGAGATATTGTGAGGTGCAGATTTTATTTTGGGTGGCAGGGGGAAAACAAGAACAACTTTAAAAACTCCTTTCAATAATAATATACAGTGGTGAAATCAGGATGGCTTAGAGGAAGTTTTAACAGCGCACACTGCCCAACTCTTGAAAAATATTTAAAGAAAACTATTATATCATGATCTTGGAAATGGAACTGTTATCACTAAATACATATTTCCAGTGAAAGAACATGAATTATGACACTCCTGTCTTCCCTGACTTGCGAACTTAGTATGCAGGATGCTAAGCAAAGGTGCTTGAAGAGATAACTCTGTGAGAAGTCTGGATTTCTTCCTTCTTTATTCAATGTGCCCAGTTCACAGATGAAATTCTCAACTGCTCAAATTAGTTTTCCCCTCACTCTTTTATTACATATGTTGGTGAAGACTTAAAAACAGTCACCTAAAGTTGGGCTCCTAAATCCTTATGTTGACATGTAAATAACATCATAGAAACCCACCTTTAGGCCCTCGGGGTTTAAGATATTATGCCCAATCCCATTTAAAGTATTTCTACATAGCTCATTCTTTATTTAAATAGCATCTCCTGAGTGTTATGGGATTTTGAAATGGAATGAATATGAAAGCTTGTAACTTTTCACTTTCCCATCAAATGGTTACTAAAATTATTTTGCTTTTGCCTTTTTACTTTTGTGTCCAGGTCTTTCTATTTCCCTCCATCTGTCCAAAAGAGATTATGTAGCTCTAATGAGCAATTACAAATAACAGTGTATTCAAAAGTTTGAGACTTATAGCTTCTCTCCTTGTGGAAACATCCAGAGTGATAAAATTCTACCATGTTCCCAAGCAAAACATACCTTCCCTCTTTTACTGGTAACAGGCCAAAAAATGCTTGTATTTGTTTTAGATCTACATTCTTTGGTTATGTGATCTACAGTGTATGTTCACTGGCTGATTGCAAAGAATTTCCAACTTAAGCCTTGAAACCTGAAAAGCATTATGTGCAAGCTTAACTGTATGTGTGTGAGCAGTCCTTAAGACTTCTATGTAAATCCTCGTGTACATACAGATGACCTAAAAGTTGGGTGATGAATTTATATTAAACTAAGCAAAGTTAAATTAATCTATTGGATTACTAAAGTCCTATTTTGCCAGGGGAATAGCATATTCATGTAGTTAAACAGAATTAGATTTTAATGTGGTTAAATTAGCCAAATGAAATTTAATTGGGATGGAAATACCAAGCAACCAAAACAGAACACTCTGCAGCACTGAATGCCTCCCCTCCCCAGTATGCAGAGCTGCACACTGTAATACATTCCTTTTTTTTCTGATTCTGCTTTACCCTGGAAAAAGTCAACATGGTACATGAAAGCAAAGCAAAAAAAATGTATATGCCACATTTCTCATTTTATATTTTTCAAGACAAAGAACAGTGCACAGCCTATCCACTCAACTATCTTTAACATGGAGTTCTTATTTGAATAACCATCACATACACAAAGCAATTTCTGTTTGATAAAGTATAATCATAATCCCAGAATGCTAGAAAAAACAGTTTGAAACATTTATGATGTTCAGCCATAGGAATTATGTATTTATTTTAAATACTTTGCTCTTTCCTAGCAGAAAGAAAACAATATTTTTTACATTGATTGTTTGTGGTAAAAGATAACTGTTATTAATCACTACATAAAAGAGAACCTGTTAAGTACTCAAAGTCCCTCACCCTAATCATGCAAAAAAACTTCTGAACTCCTTTTGTTGATTTTGTAGGAAAGCAAACTGGGATATTGTGGCATAAAAGTCACTTGTAAAGTTCAGCAGAAAAAATACATATTCAACGTACAGCTGATGTGATTTTCTACAAAGTTTTCTAATAAGTGCTACTTGATTGTAAGACACACAGTATGATCTCACCTGTAAGCAAATTGCTACGTTGACCCTGCACCCAAACGTGGTGCTCACTGCACGTGCAGAGAGGCCCAGATCTTTGAACAATTTGGAGAAGGACTGTGTTAGTGCAATCCTTGGTCTCTCTTCTGCAACCACCATACATGTTCGTACACAAGACAGGTTAACTCCTTTCATCTGTTTGAGAGGTTGGGCAGAGGAAAAGGTGAACAAAATGCCTTATTTATCTGGACATCAGCAATTCCTAGAAACAGAAGTCATCTGAAAGTTGATTTTCAAAAATAACAAAAAAACAACAGCATCTGTGGCATCTGCCTCCCAGAAAAAATTAACTATAGTTCAACTCTACCTTTGGTACATGTTCATGCATACAGCCAGCTTAGATTAGGGGTGTTCAACACACAGCATATAGGTCAGATCCAGATCATGGACCCACATGATCTGGCCTGCAGGGCTCCCCAAGCATCTGAAAATTTGGTGGGGGGAGGAAGGAGGAATTAGTGCACTACCACTCCCACACTACCAAATTTCCAAGCCTTGTGGACCAGATGACACAGCCCTGTACATGGCATGTGTGGGGCCTGATCTGGCATATGTGGGGCTGGGGCTGCAGGTTGATTTTGCATCTGGTCTTGATCCAGTGTGTAAAGGGCCAGTGCTGGGGCAGCAGGCCCAATCCAGCACAAGGCTGGAGCTATGATTGGGCCCACAATATGTTGTGTGGGACTGGGATCGGGCCTGGGTCCTGTGTGTGCTGGCTTGGGCCCATAGACTGGATCTGGTCTGTGAACCCACCCTACCATACTCATCTGGCCTTCAGAGCCAAAAGGTTGGGCACCACTGGCTTAGATAGATTCTGTAACCAACATTCTGAATTACTAAATCATCTCCATAGTGGGACCTCTCCCACTACTGACAGCTGAGTTTCTTTAAAACTAAATAATGAATTTCAGTAAAGAAATTTTTAGCTCAAACAGGGTACTATAAATGCATGTGGAGTAAGATGAAGTAATTTATTATTTTTGTAGAAAAACACACAACATTGTGGATCTCTTTCGTAAGTTTAAAACAACTATAAGGGCAAGAGACCCATGGTGCTAAAGTGTACTTACCAGAAATCATTCCAATATCCGGGCAGTTTTGTAAGAGAGACTGATCAGCTTGATGTACTGGTGTAAAACAGTGGTGCTCAACCTGTGGGGGGTCTGGGAAGCTGGTGCAAATGGCCTGTCACTGGCATGCATGTCAGTGGAGGTGAACACTTCTGCCACTCATCTCCTCCTTTCCCCTGCTGCTGAAATCAGCAACAGGAGAAAGAAGGTATAATGTATAATGTGGATACCATTTTGGGATTTAGGAGACCATTACCACTTGATTGCAAGGCAAAACGGAATTCATGACAGCAGATTCAAAAGTTTGACTTGCAATCAAGTTGCTAAAAGGATTTTTCAGCTAGTAAAGAGCACAGTAATAATCCAAAGCACAGAGCCTTGATAGTGAGAATGAACTGGGGAAGGGAAACCTTATATAACAGTCTTAACAAACCATATCACACCAGGCTAGAGAAGCAGGTATATTTTCTATATGCTCACAAGAAACAAATTGCTGCTGAATGAATCCAAAGGGAAGATGAGCCAGACAAAGATATATACATTAGTTTGTATGGTACATAAGCAGTACATCACACCAGCTGCACAACACCATTAACCTTGTATTGGACAAAGTATTTCTAGAATCAATTGGTAAATCTGTGGTCTTGCCAAATCCCAAAGTTAAGACTTATCACCTGGAACAGAATCCATTTTCATATCTGTATTTGCCTACAACTAAGAAAGCAGGTTTATGATTCAAAACATCCATTACGGCAAATTCAGACATGGGGGAAAAATTTTAACCATTCTTTTTCCTTTAGTCAGGGCAAGTTTGATAAATTTGCTGAGTACTTTCCCCAAAAAGTATAGAAAGAAAACACTTTTTAAATTGTCATCAAAGCATAGAAATATCAAGTGCAAAATGTGGTTTTTCTTTTCAGAAATTTGAGAGCAAGTGACAGCTAGCTGCAGTCTCAAACAGCATTTTGGGGGGGGAATAAACCATAATTAAAGGCCTTCAGATATTTCATGGAGGAGCCACTTTTACAGTTGATGACCTGAAACAAAGGGCCAGAACTGGAAAAATATATTTAACTGTATTTTAATACATATAGAAATAAAGTCTTCTTACCCGGAGAACGTCTGTCTGTGTTCCAAGGCCTTTGGTGCACATCTCCATGACAGAATAAGAGCAGAAAGTGACACGCACTTTGTATTGACTTACAGCAGACAACCACAGAGATACATTGCTCTCCAGTTCAAGAGGAGGGACTAAAATGGACTGATGTCCCGAATATACACTATCCGCATGGAAAAGAATACACAAAAATGAAGTAGACTTTAACTATGCTGAACAAATATAATAAAGTATACACACATTCTGGGCACTTTGTTTATTCTGACCTTTCACAATATAGCTGATATCCCATCATCTCCTTCACACATCTACACACTGAGTCCCTTCTACTACCCTTCCCAGGCCTCTCTCAGAAACAGCAAGTTAAAGGTATTTAAAGAACCATCATAGTGTACTGCCCAGCGTCACACTCATGCCTTCCATTTCTACAAGATACATGTATGCTCCCCTGCTGTCTAAAACAAGCCTGCTGTTCAGTACAGATCTGCTCTGGATGTCATGATAGGAAGCTCCCTCCCAATCTCTGCTGTAGACAAACCCACTTCCATTTACTGCTTTTTGCACTGACAAAAGAGGGCTAGAGCACCTGGGGGAGGCTGTTTGTGACATGGAGCCAGTGTGTAGTAAAGCAACAAGAATATAGGGACAGGGAGGGGACTCAATCCTTCCAGTGAATACAAGCAACACACTTCGAAGAGGTCTTACCAAAGTGTTGGACATTAGTTTATTCCCAGGTTAAATTCATCCTGGTATCTACCACTTTCCTTGTGGCTACACAAGGAAACAAACTACATTTTCCCTCAGTAAAAAGTTATACACAAACAACATGAAAAACCTGAAAGCACAAGATATTTCTGACTTTAAGCTAAATGTACAATAAAAGATAAGAAAATATTTCTAGGTTCAAGGATTTTTTGGACATCTCTTATTGGACCAACTGCATAGTTGGGATTACAGTTAGACAAGCTTTCAAATGGAAAGCATTCTTCTTTAGGTCTCGGGAGGAAAGCAAGCACAGGGATGAAGAACAATGGATGGATCTGTAAAACTTGAGGAGGAGAAATTCCCAGGGGTATCAAGCAAACAATTAAAGTAAAGAAGCCTGATTTACTGGGAGATCAAGACCTATCAAAAGTGTGGAGTACCACTATCACTTGTAGCATGTGGCAAGAATTTCAGGAATCAGGTAGCTTATAGTGTGTTATAAGATCAATATTGGTTTTCTGTCCTCAACTCCTAGCATCCAGCCAGTTTATGAATTTTTGTTTTCAAACTTGCCTTTTAAAGGTGTTTCAGAAATTTCCCTTGAGCATGAGAGCAGTGAGGTCAGAGTGGGAGTGGCTGTTCTGTGAAAAATGTGCTCTTGCTGATATAGTTGTCTCTGCCCTTTATATTTTTTCTGTAAGCGTTCACTCTGGGTGCTGTCTAATTTCACCTACATAGTTACCACAAGTGCCTTTAGTGCACTGGATCAGATGCATCATGTTTTGAAAAAGGCATGAGTATGATCCATGGATTCTGATGGACTTGTTGTAGAGGGTGTTGATTGTAGCAGCACTGGAGATGTGCTAATAGGTTAAGTATCTATTTTTTTATATAAACATCTCTGCATCTTGTTTTAGGATTTATGTTGCACATCAAAAAGCAGACAGAAAAATCTATGATGTTCTGCTACAGAAGACCATCACAGAATCGTATAAAGACAAGGCTTATGTTACATCTGTACAGCACATCACATATGCAACTCCTCTTCCTTAACAGCCCCCTCCCTCACACACAGACTACCTGATTTTAATGTTGCTTAAGATGTTATTAAATGTTAACAAAATTTATATTCAATTTATTCTTACTTTCTTTTTTTTCCAGTCTTGTAGATAGGAAATATGGGAAACTTTTCCCTTTTGGGTCCTCTTTTGGTTATTTTACTTTTTTTTTTTTTTTTTTTACAAATTTATTCACAATTTATAACTTTTTATTAGGCATCTAAAAACTGAAAAATTACTGAGGAAATAGGAAGAAAAAAAATCATAGCAGCACTACGTATGCTGCATTTAGTAGTTTAACTATCTGAATCAAACAGTTTCCCACTCTATTTAGGCAATATTAAATGTACAAAAAGCAGGCCCCTACCTTAGAGGCTTTTAGAAGGGTTTATTTAACATGGATGAAATCAGTACTGAAATCCTCTCTTTCATGTACTTGAAATCCAAATAACTTCAGTTAACATATAGCAAAATTTGTGGACCCTACAAAGGTCAGTTCTATTTTAATTTGTCCACAAATATATATTTGGATTATCTAGAGAATTTCCAGGTGACCATGTGTAAGCTGTAGCATAATAGTCGCTACATACAGGGATTCTATAAGTAAGGAAGAACCAAGGGACACATCAGGTAAACATTGCTGGATTTGAAATGGTATTTAAAGGTTTGTTTTTTGGGGAATTGGCTTATAGGAGTGGGTGTGTGTGCGTGCGTGCGCGCACGTGTGTGTGTATGTATATATAGATATAGATAGAGGGGGGTGTGTGTGTGTAGGTGTACACCCCCCCTCTATCTATATATCTATCTATATCTATAGAGGTGTGCGAATACATACACCTATACACACATACTTCTATCTATCTATCTATATGGGCCCCCGTGGAACAAGGCCTCTGAGTCCTAAATCCAAAGCCAACAAAACATAAGGTTTAAATACTGACCTGCAGAGGCACCATAGTGCAAAGCCCAAACCACAGTAAGGGTCAAGGCAGATGGCGATCTGTCTGGAAGGGTACAGCTCACACTGTAGCTTTATGGAGCGACATAAGGCACTTGTAGCTGCATGTGACATCTAAAGAAGAAAACAGATTCACTCAGGGCTTTTATACTTTAGAAATTTGCATTGCAAATGGCTGAAGTAGAAGCTATGATGCCTGTCACATTTTTTCAAACAGTACAAACAAAGTCATTTCTAGCATCAGCTCAGCCTTTCAATTAATGTACAAAAGCTAATAACCCTCCAGCTTAGACTAAAATGGATACTCCTCACCCTTACAGGGTAAAATCAAACAGGGAAAAAAAATCCCACCCAACCTCTGACCCCCTTCTCAGAAGCTCTCTGTACAGAGCAGCCAAAAAGGAACAAAGCAATGCTTTCAGAGATGGATTAAAGGTTATCACCAAGTGACTTGTCTATCGTTATACAACACTTACGTGATAGTTTGAATAGGATACAGGTTTCTTTTCTCCTAGCCACAAGTCAGGATGCATTCAATGTAATACAAAACATGCATCCATTTTAGCAATATACATCTCAGTGAAATTACTATACCTTTACTCCTGCTAATATGCCAGTGGTAGATACACTGAAATCCAAGTATGCCAACATATCTGGGGAAGGAGGTCTAAAAATAGTTGCCACCTTCTTTTTAGGTATATCATCTATTCAAAAAACATAAAAGCAGAAAAATTCCATGATATTATTGTGGAGAAAAATTATAGCAGGAAAACACAACTTTTAAAAATTGGCATCTTATGTTTCCTAAGTTTTATGGACTGATATACAGTTACAATGCAATATCCAGCTACTCTAAAAGAATAAGTAGCGAATGGGCCTCCAAATTAATTAACATTTGTATATAAACATCCAGCTACACTAACAGTCTTAAATTACATTGAACAGAGCACAATACATCTTCTGAAATACCCACACTTCTTGGCAAGTCCAGGCTAGAATTTAATTCTCTTAACTATTGGTTAGGCATTTTGTACCTGTGTCCAAAATGGTGGGCCATGTTTTAATATCTACAGCTGTTGCAGCTTCTTTGGACTTCAGTAGTTTCATTATTGCTTGTGTTGTAAGGATACATGCAGACTTACTGACCTGTACAGAGTACAACATTCAAAATATTAAGCTGATGAGTGAATGCCTCTGTGTTTTCATATTTATTCAAATTAGTACAACTTGTTGATAGCAGCTGATAGTAAAGAAAAATATTGCATCAATAGAAAAGATGGCTTGAACTACATTTATGAAATAGTTCATGATTGAGGGTCACAGGAAAACAGCAGCATGTTTTTCAGACATTCAGCTTATTTTATATTTATTATTATATTGTAATTTATTGGGCAACTGCTTTTCCAGTGAAAAAATCAAACTTCAACACATGCTACACAAAGTAATTGCTCATACCTCTACAATCATCTTGACAGTGGGTAGGGTGGTAGCAAGATTTTGTGGATGAGGGGGTCGAACTGTGATGGGTATGCACCCAGCATATAAGCAGCCATAGAAAGTTACTATTAAGTCTATTCCTGTAAAGGATACAAATACATTTTAATGACATAAATGAGAAACAAAGAGGCCTCCTTTACCGAATCCCAATAAATATCCTTAATACATTAAGAATGTAATAGACCATAAATCTTTATCTGCCATAAAGCCAGGGTGTGAATTAAGGGGGAGTTCAGGGGGGCTAAGCCCTCCATAAGAAACGAGAGCCCCCCTGTATGATTTGAAAATAATTATTATTCTGAGGGGGGTCTTGGATTGGATTGCTTCTTCACTTAGGTGGACTTGTTAATCAATGAACTGGTTTAATTTTGTTGCAGCCCTGTCCCCACCTCCAAAATTCAAAATGTAATTTGAACCTTGCATAAAGGTCCATATAACCTTGTGTGTCCCATCTCTGGTAGTGGCTAATCTTTAAATCTGAAAACCTCTATGACACGATCCTAGCATGTTTCAGAATGATATAACATCTTCAAAGGAGAAGTTCTACTATAATTCATACTACACAGCCATGCAGTTTGAGAAGGTTATGAAGTGGGCACATTTTTAGAAGGGTATGTGTTCGTCTTCCTTCAGCTAGCATTACAAAATCTGTAAACTATTCAATCACCACAAAATTACACTCCTGCCATTTCCTGTCAATACATTTACAAACATTGCCACTCCCTCTGCTGTATCTTTTTTGTGGGGCTGAGAATCTGGCAACTTTAATGTGATATGGATGCATTTCCTACTTCTATTCCAATAGTTTAGTATTGTACAAATCTCCAGGTACATTTGTGAAATTCACAAGCAGCTTACTGAGAAAAAAGCACTAAGGGGAACATGTTTGTCACTTAACGCTGCCTTGGGCAGTCACTGCCAGGGATAAATTACCAAATTAAGCAGATGCTTGACTATTTTAATCAGGCAATGCTTCTGTTTCTTTCTGCATAGCCAAGGACTTTATAGTTTCTGCTGTCTCTAATTCCTTACCTGGTGGATAAACTAGAGCTACATGATCTCCAACATTCAGTCGCCCCTTCTCAGTCAGTGCTGCTGCCACTCGCTCAGCTTTCTTGTGCAGCTGTATGCATGATGCAGTACTGGCTACTGTGCCCTGTGCAGTATAGAAGTGACTTAGGAAAACTTTGCAGAAAATATATTTTGAAACTGAATAAGATGAATTTCCTTAGCTGTATTTCACTACATTTTCACTTTTAGCGTTGGAACTGACAGAATTCAAGACTCAATGAAATAACAGCCACCTATTTTAGCATCTCAGAAACCAGGCTAACTACTTCACCCCCTCTTAAAATACCCAAATCAAACTATAGTGTGTTTGTCATTACAAACATCAGACAATTCAGCATAGGGTCTAACTGAATTTGTTTTTTACAAACAAAACAGCTTAAAAGTCATTTTGTTTGACATCAAGGCAATGACAGCAGCTTTTTAAATCAATAAATATAGATTCATTACATCAGCAGGCAGTTGAGCATTGCACCATATGCAGCACCAGGCCGAAGCAAACCTTGGTGGGCGCAATATGGACAAACCTCTACAGCTAACAATATGCATCTAGAATCTCTCTGATATAACCATGATTTTCTCTGCACCTGCCTCTTGTTCCCTCAGTGCCTTCAGAACCAATTATTCTTATCAGGACACTATTTAAAGGCCCCTTACCTTTATAATTAAGTTTCCTCCCACAATTTTAACCAAGTTAATCAACACTTTGTTTTATTCTTGCTTTAGTACTTACTTCACATTTCTCATAACTACATCCTGCATTTTGTTTCCAATTATTTTAAATCCCATTTCTTTAAATGTTTCCTTCATTTTTCTATCCTGAACAATAATTCCATACCTTAACAGAGTGAGTACATTTTCCTTGCTAGCTAGAAATATCCCTAGAAGACTTGAGACTCCTTGCTCATGAATGTGGCTGTTAAGTTTCAGACTTGAGACTCCTTGCTCATGAATGTGGCTGGTAAGTTTTGTTTTCACTAAATTTTACTTCAGGGAGGAACATTAACATGGCAGAGTTCCCTGATGGCAGTAAGAACCTCTGCAGGCATGCTGAACGTTGTAGAGAAGTAGCAAATGTACTGTGACATTGGGATTGGGGTACAGGACAACAGCAGATTGAGCTGCATCCTTCAGTTAATTTACAAGCATCTTGCTGTCAATATAAGTCCCCCCAATAGTGTGACTTTTACCCTGTTGCCTACAGCTCATCCAGATGACTTGTTATTCCCTTTTATCTTAATACTTTTTTGTCCTTAGAGTTATTT